TTTGAAAAACAGGCAGGTATCCCCCTGTATCTGGAAGAAAATTAAGTCAAAATATTCTACACAGTAGAAGGGAGACAACTGTTTATGTCCATGGTTAGACAATTCAAGGACAACCTGGAAATTTCTAAAGCCATTTCCAAAAAATCAATGGCAACAGGTTGGGACACAGCTATTTCAAAGGGTGAAGTGCCTATACCTACATTGGTTTTTATTAACAGGGATTGAGTTGCACCTGTATAGCATGACATTCTTGTCTTTAGCCTTAAAGGAAAAGAGAAAGTCTTTTCCATTTGCACCAGTTTGAAATATTTCAAATAAGGCTCCCTTAAAATGGATTACTACAGTACTCATTCACAGGAGAGTTCATACATGTAGTAAAAAGACAAATACAGGACTTCATGGTCACTTTTTTTGGTTGATTTGGTTAATTGCATAAAGTGGGATAAATACACATATAATCTGTTTAACAAAACTAGGTACATCAGAATGCAAAATATAAAATGCCCAAAAGAGACTCTGATCAGCAGGCACATCAAATTGCAGTGAAGCCTGTATCAGCTTGGTTCCTCCAACTTCTTCAGTATTCCTCTGAGTAGCTCTTTCTCTCCTACTGGAGCCTAGACCTTTGACCTAACAGAAAGGAACCTAAGAAGGCAAGGCATTCTGATAAAACGCGCCTGGGGCCTTTACATGGGACATTTTATTTTTAATCTAAAAAGATCTACTGGTCTTGGTCAGCCTTAGGAAGGGAAGCATCACTCAGGTAATGTATTTGGAGGAACTTTAAACACCTAGCTACCTCTTACACTCATTTAAATTAGATTAGCTTCAGCCGTTCTTAGAAAGCATTCCATATAGTTATCCAGAGCACTCAAGTTTTGGTTCTCTTTTACATAGCTGCATTCGGAGATAACTCTGTGTGAGACATGTTTAAAAAAAGAGAAACACTTATACCTGGAATTTATATTCTTCCAAGTAATCTTTTAGTCTTGTTGGTAAAGGCAATCCCCAGATGGCACCAGTACATTTGTTAATGGTGAGCCTACAGAGATGCTGCAGAGATGGTGCTGACGTGTAGAGAGGTTTGGTCAGATAAAGGTGAACAGTGCCGTTCCGGGGGGCTTCTGGACCTGTCCGCTTATCCTTGCACATCTGAACATAGTAGTCGATCAGATGAACCACACTGTCAAACTGTTTAAGCTTGGACTTGACACATACGATAGAGTCCAATCTGAATTTCCCGTCTTGGTATTCGATTCGAAGATTAGTTGGTCCAGCTGATGTTTTAACAGATATTGTTAGTAGGTAGTCTGAATGCGAGCTATCTCTAATCAAGAAAGTTCCTTCTGGTGCCTCTTTTAATTTCTCTTTGGCTTCATTAACAGTCATACTTCCCCAGTACCATCCTGGGGTTTTGTTCAAAAGAAAAAGAAAAGAGGGTAAAACAGTTATTATAATAATTTTTAGAACAGAGCAAGTAATTGGCAATAATTTTTTAGCTCTAAAAAACAAAGATGTGTGAGTGACAGTTTACCAAGGGCCACCACAAATACTTTCGGTAGGAATTTAATAAAAATTTTGGTCCATTTTACGAACACAAACGGCAAGCCAGTTTTCTTTCTTTCTTTTGTAAAAAATAACTTTCAGAAGCTCTTCTTAAAATGTTCTTCTAATGAACCAAAAGAACATTTGCAGCATGCCACACTGGCTGATGAAGCATGATACTTTTAACTCTGTCAGTAAAATAAAGATGTAAGTAAATTAGAAATACATCAGAAGTTAGAAATAAAAGCCATGCCTTTTAAAAAGTGAAAACTCCAGCTCCTGTAATTCAGCTGGAATAAAAACAGAAGGAACTTTTTTGGATGGTTGGTGCCTCCCCCAAAAAAAGAATCTGCAGAGTCTGCTGTGAACAGCCTGCTCTGTAGAAAGCCCTCTGTGTACTTGTTGTAAAAGCACAGCTCTAGTACAATAGCTACTGTTCGCTGCTTTATGACTACCTTATCAGTCACTGAGAAATGGGAAGTCTCAAATGATAATTACTACTTCAAATGTACAATCTTCCCTAAACTCTTTTGGATTTGCCCTAATCCAAATCCAATCACAACCATTGGTCTCCCCTGCATTCTTGATTTCATTTGTCTGCACCATATTCCCGGCCCATGCTGCTTTCTAAGGAGGCTCAAAGATCGTTTATATTTAAGAAATCTGAACATCTGTGCTCCCCACACCCCCACCATTACCAGGATACTTGCAATCCGCCGGTGCCTCCCCTGGGAGGGAAAGCCCGAGTCCCACAGGGAAAGACGGAGAGACCGCAATCGCAGGCGAGGGAGTTTTTCCCTCTCCCTCCCCATGTTGCTACCAAAATTTCAACTGTGCCACAACTGTAAGCTTTTAGGATACGGATCTGAAAAGCCCGAATGATTTGCCAGATACTTTACCTTTTTTTTTTTCTTTTTACAGATGCTGAGAGAGGACAGCGTGCCGCGCAAATTGCGTGACTGCACTTGAAACCTGCAGTCCCCTGGGCGCGCTGACCCTGAAAGCCGCGCTCGGCGGGGGCTTTGCAGCCTGTTCTCCACGCCCAGGCAGCCGCCCTTGCGGCGGTGTCAGTCCCTGAACTTGGCCGCCAAGATCCTGGGCTGCAGTGGCAGCTCCGCCCGGGAGCCGGATGCCGCGGGGCCTGCGGGGCCCGTGGCGCCCACTTGCTGATTGCACCCCGCGCAAAGGGAGGCGCTGGACGCTTTCCCCGGCTGGGGTTCGAGCCCGAGCCGCCTAACCCTGAGCCGCTGCGGAAAATAATAAAGCTTCCAGAGTGCTAAGAAGCTAGTTCCAAGAAGCCCCTTCCGAGCTCTGTGCTCCGCCAGGCCTGAGTCCCTGGAGAACCACTTTCCTTACACATTCCCAAGGACCCAGGACCCTGCAAGCATGCTCTCCGCGGTCCCCCACCCTGGAGCGAAGACTGGAAGCAAGGCAATGTATTTCCCTGTTACTCTTAGCTTCCCACCTCGGCCCGCTTCCTAGCTGCGTCTTTGGGGAGGCGCCCCCTCCCGCACGTGTCGCGGCTGGTCGGCTCCCTACCTGTCTGACCGAGCTCTCGCAGGGCCTTCGCCAGACGCGCCGCCTCCGGGGATGGCTCCTCCGCCGACCCCGCGGTCCCCCACTGACTCCGCGTCCCTTCTCCGCCATTCCCGGAGGGCTCGAGGCACCGCAGGGTCATGGGAGAAGGGTCACCGCGGCAAAGACAGGTGGTCGCCCGAGCTGGGGTCAGAGAAGCGTTCGCGTCTTTCCTGGAAGTCAGTGCGAATCCCAAAAGGAGTCCCTCCGGGGTGTCCGAAATGGTGACAGAGAGGGAAGGGATGGGGTTCTTTCTCCCCAGGTCCCAGAGGACGGATGACAAAGTCCCTCGCAGACGCGGTCACCCACTGATTGCCTACAAAGAGAAAGCGGGAGGTTGGGTCAGTCCAAACTGGACCCCTGCGGCTAGGTGGGGGTGGGGAAATAGACGTGGAAAATCCCAGGGACTCCTCCGCCTCTACGTTCCTGCACCGTTTAACCCCAAGTCCAGTTAGCGCCCTGGCCCAGCTCTAAAGAAAGGATAAAGAGAGCAGGATCCAAGACACAAAGTTGGCTAAGGAGGTGGGGGGCGGAGGTCAGGATAAGGGTGAACAGGATGTCTTCCCGCCCAGGGCCACTCCCTGAAATCAAAGACTAGTGGCCTAGGAAGGGCAAATAGTCACCTGCAGATCTAGTGGGAATAGGCCCTCGTCAAGGACAAGTCGAGAAAATTTTAAAGAGCAGGAGACCTTCCCCAAATTGGCATTCCCGTCTCACACCTGGGCAGCCCGAAGGCCTCCGGGAAGAAGCACCCACACAAACTTGGTTCTCTGCCCTAAAGCACCGGGGGAACACCGAGGCACAAACCCTGGGTGCAGAGGTGGGGGAACTGCCGCATCCCTGCCCGGGAGGCTCCTCGATCCCCTCCCCCCACTTCCCGGTGCCCGCTTGGGCGGAGGTGGGGGCGCCGCGGCGGTGGTTCCCGGAGTAGGATGGCAGCGGCAGCTCTCGCAGCCGCCGGCGCTGTCGAGGAATCGGCCCGAGCGCGCAGCCCTCGCAGAGCTCCGAGCCGAGGCGGGGGCCGAACGGGCGGTAGCGAGCGCTGCGGGAAGTGCAAACCACCAACGCGGCGCTCTTACCTCGACTTTCGCCGCAGCCGCCGCCGCCGCCTCTGCGCCAGGCAGCTTCCTCAGTGGACATGGGGAGGGGGGAGCCGGGAGGGGCCCGGGAGAGGAGGGGCGTCTGCCCTTGTTTCCCCCGTTAACGTTTAATTTGGGAACGAGATGCCCGGGGATGCGACCAGCCCCGCGCTCGGCGGCGGCGGCCCTAGTTCTGCGCTCAGAGGGCACACAAAAGCCCGGAGGATCATTGCCGCGACCCCCTCCCCCACCGCACGGCGACGCCCCCTCCGGGCTGGGACACCCCCACCCTGGGACTGTAGCCGGGTTTCCCTCCGGCTGCGACCCGGGAGGTGGGAAGGAGAGGGGGAGGAAGGAGCGAGGGCGGGAAGCAGGCCGGTGGGGAGGAGCGGGAGATCAGGTTATTAGAAGGATTATTAATTTGAATGGCAGTTTAGGGAAAATTTAAAAAAAGAAACTCCAGACACTTCCAGACGCCGAGAAGGGACCGGAGAAAGCTGGCAGTAACGCCAGGCCGCCGGGCAGAGCCGCGGCTCAGACTCTCTCCCCCGCGCTCCGAGCTGCAGAAGCCCAGGCCGACCGCCGCTCGCACTGCCCGCTGCTCCCCAGCGCACGCGGCCGCGCCCCGCCGCCCTCCCCGGCAATTCTCCTCGGGGCGGAGCCTTCAGGCCCCCCCTCCACCAGTACCTGCCGCGGGCTCCCGAGCTGCGGGCAGGGGGGATCCTAAGGCGGTGCGCCCGGGGCACCGGAGCGCACTGTCCGCGGCCCACGGGGTGAGGGTGGCTGCGGGCGAGAGGGCTCATGCTTCAGGGGAAGCCCAAGACCCGCCAGCCGCAACGGCGGCGACAAGACTTGGCAAGAGTTAAACGTCGGTCCCAGGAGCTGCCAGTGCGCGCGACTTCCCAGCCCGACGCGCCTCCCTCGCTCCACGCCTCCCTCCCCAGCCGGCGTTCTCCTCACGCCCCACCCGGCTGCTGCGGAGGCCGCTTTCCAGGAACTTTCCAGGAATCGGCCTCACGTGACCGCGGGCCCCGCTGCCTCTTTAAAGAGGCGCGGGCGCAATACAGAGGCTTTAGGAAAGACCGGCTGAGAGCGCTCTGGTGCAGGGTGGGCGGTGTGCACGCCGGAGTCTGCGGGCCTCTGGCCCCACACCCCGCGGTGCTCCGGGGCAAAGTGGAAAAGTCCCCGGCCACAGCCAACCCCGTTTCGGCGGCCGGAGCCTGCCCCCTACCCGGGCCAGCTGAGAGCTGGGGTTCAGGGAAGTATAGTCGTCCGGCCTGCCACGGGGGATGGGCTTCTCTAAACAGTCCGAAGGCGCCCCCTTGACGCGACCCTCCTGGCCGCTCATTTGGGGGGTGGGTGCAGGAGCGACCGTGGGTCCTCGGAAACTGGCCTCTCTGTCTCTAAGACACACTGATGGCACCGGGACCTCCTGCTTGGCCCGGTGCTCACGGCCGGGGACCGGCGGCGGTCCCCTTGATGCGGTCCTGGAAGGCAGAGAGCAGGAGAGCAGCGCCTCCTTAAGTGGCGCCGGCCGTCCTTAGTCCCCTCCCCCTGGCGCCCCGGCTGGTAGTGATCCGCACCCACCCAGCTCCTCCCTTCCTCCTTTCCTCCGCTGTAACGTCTCCGGTAGACCCGGCGGCCCGCCCCGCTCACCTGCGCCGACTGCCAAGGGGGCGCCCTTACCTGCGCGCCGGTAAGGGGCTGGGTGACGGGCCTCCGTTCTCGCAGTCAGGAGAGCGTTTCTGCCATTCCCTGCAGGGCTGGCGCCCCAGGGCCGGGAATTCCGAAGGTTCCTGGCACCTCTACCTTACCTGGGATTCTCACCTCCCACCTCGTTGGAGGCCACCTGGCCTTAATGGAAACTCATCTCCTTGTCTGCGCACCCACCCCCGAAGTGTGACCTACTTGAAATGTGACCTACTTAAAAAAAAAATTAACAATCACAGGAAAACCGGATCCAAAATTTCGATAAACATTTTTCTTTGAAATACTATTCTATTGCATCACTGCTCAAAAGCTTGAAAGGTCAATGGCCACTTTTAGATGAAGCCGTGGCTGTGGGAAGTTGGGCGAGGAAGTGGGAGGGGTGGGAGGGAGGTGCGGCTTCCAAACCTTGCCTGGTGCCCCCCCTGCAGGCTCTGGGAGGAAACGTGAACCAGCTCCTAACCTTGGGGTCTGGAGCCGGGGACCAGTAGTTTTTTCAGTAATTTTCCTGCAATTCAGTAGGTAACTCTATGCACATAAGTTGGTGAGTCGGGGAGGGGGGCATTTCCCAGCTAACAAAGAGCTTTGTTAAATCTGGGGCCGTGTGCACGTAATCATGTTTCGTTTTTTAGAAAGAGCCTTTGATAGTATGGGCGGAGCTAACTGAACCCTAAAGTCCTCTACGAGGTAGTTGAAGAATTTTGCACAAGGCACTTACTCTCTTTGGACCTCTGGCCCTTTTTATAACATGAAGGGCTAGACTCCGGTTCTGGGTGAGGGACTGGGATAAATGAACAGTCAGATTCCATGTGAAGCCTGTGTACAGTCTAAGGCCCCAAGCCTTTAAGAAACACTATGTCTACTAGGGTTAACTCCCCTCTAAATTATCCTAATATGGCTTCTTTTTCTTTGGTGGAGAATCCTAGAAGAAGGGTGTACCCACACTTTAGCTTAAATAAAAAGGTATTTATTCCAAAAATTGGGTTGCAGGGGAAGAGAAGGGGACTGGACCGAGTCTTGCTTTACCACCCAGGCTGGAGTTCAGTGGGGTGATCTCAGCTCACTGCAGCCTTGGCCTCCTGAGTTCGAGTGATTCTCCTGCCTCAGCCTCCGGAGTAGCTGGGATTTCAGGTGCCAGCCATCACGCCCGGCTAATTTTTGTATTTTTAGTAATGATGGGTTTTCACCCTATTGGCCAGGCTGGTCTTGAACTCCCGGGCTCAACAGATGCTCCCGCCTCAGCCTCTCAATGTGCTCCGGCCCTAACATTTGTATAAAGTAAATTTAATATCTATTTGGTTGTGGGTTGAAACAAATCTTCCAGGAACTCCTTTTTTATGTGCTCCTGTTGCCTCGGCACATGCTCTTCTTCCCTCTTTCTAGAATGCTCCAACCCTGATGGCTGCGTCACACTTGATTAAAAGAATCCTGGCTGGAGGCTGGGCATGGTGGCTCATACCTGTAATCCCAGCTCTTTGGGAGATCAAGGTGGGTGGATCATTTGAGGTCGGGAGTTCAAGACCAGCCTGGCCAGCATAGTAAGGACCCTATCTCTACTAAAAATACAAAAATTAGCGAGGTGTGGTGGTGTGCGCCTGTAATCCCAGCTACAAAGGAGGCTGAGGCAGGAGAATGACTTAAACCTGAGAGGTGGAGGTTGCAGTGAGCCAAGATTGTGCCTCTGTACTCCATCCTAGGGAACAGAGCCAGGCCGTCTCAAAAAAAAAATCTTAGCCAGGTGCAGTGGCTCACACTTGTAATCCCCCAGCACTTTGGGAGGCCAAGGCAGGTGATTCACTTGCGGTCAGGAGTTCGAGACCAGCCTAGCCAACATTGTGAAACCCTGTCTCTACTAAAAATACAAAAATTAGCCGGGCGTGATGGCATGAGCCTGTAATCCCAGCTACTTGGGAGGCTGAGGCAGGTAAATCGCTTGAACCCGGGAGGTGGAGATTGCAGTGAGCCCAGATGGAGCCCCTGTACTCTCCAGCCTGGGTGGCAGAGGGAGACTCTGTCTCAAAAAAAAAAAAAAAAAAAAAAGAATCCTAATAGCCACTTGCAAGGTCCTACGCAAGGTCCTACAAGACCAGGTTCTATTTACCTCTCTGACCTCATTTCCTCCTGCTCTGTTCCTTGATCACTCTGTTCAAGTTACACTGGACTCCTTGCTAATTCTAGAACTGATTAGCCTTGCCCCTGCTTCAGTCTCTTTGTATTTACTGTCTCCTCTACCTTTCATGATCTTCTTTTAGATAGCTGCAAGGTTTGCTCCCTCACTTTCTCAAATATTTATTTAATGCCACTTTTTTCGTGAGACTTTGCCTGTTCCCTGACTCCGAATTGACCCTCCCCCTGCACATTTTTCTCTCCTCTCTGCTCTAGTTTTTTCCTTAATCGTGATCACCATCTAACCTAGTTTATGTCTTCTTTCTCCAACTCACTATCTTTCTTCCTAGCTCTGCTTCATGGATTTGTACTTGCATTGTTCACAGCTGTACTTTAGCACCTTGAATAGTTCCTACCATGCAGTAGGGATCCAATATAATCATTGAATGGATGGATGGATGAATGAATGAGCGCATTAGCACCATGGCTTTAAAGGTAAGCTGCCCAGGTATGAATCCTCACTCTGCCACCACTTGCTACATATGTGATTTTTGGCAAATTATATAGCCTTTTATGGAGACGATCATGGTAGCTACCTTACAGGGCTGTTGTGAGAATTAAGCGAGATAATCTATGAAAAGTATGAAAGGCGCTTTGGAACTTAGCAATTAATAACAATTAGCCGTTATTTCAACTATCATCCTCTTAATCTCAGTAAGTTTGGATTTTTCCCTCTATGGATAAGATTGGCTTACATTTGCTTATGTAAAATTCAATGATCAACTTCACCCCCACTAAACCTCCCGTCCTGTGCCTTCCAGAGAACTTCATGTAGTTGGTTCCCTGGAGCACCCCTTTGGCTTTAAAATTTATGGGTATCCAAAGTGATTCCATTTGTCCCTGGATTTTCAGACCATATCTGTTTAGTAGGCAGGTTCATGGCTGCAGTGATGAACAGTTTTTCTCCATGAGGAGGAAAAGAAGATTTTCACAAAGCTGGAGCATTTCCTCCACTGCCTGCACTGAGGAGTTGCCAAGGCTTGAAAATCTTCTCTGTGTGCCAAACCAGAACTGGACATTTCTGGTTTTGCAGTGCAGACATTCTAATACTGGAATTGACAAATGCTCCACACTGAGCTGCTGCCAAATTGTCAGGAGGGTTTTTCAGTGTTTGTTTGGGGGAGAGGGGAACAATAGGATGGCCTTTGGCAATTGTGTCTGACACACCTATGGGCAGAAGGTAGGCTTTAAGTGTCCACCATCTCTTCCTTTTTGAGTTTGCCATCTCCCTACCTCCACCACACACACAGCACCCTAGAGACTCCCTGTGATCCTGGGATGCACTCATTGAAGAGTGGGTGACCCAGGTGAGCCAATGGGAGTGCCTCGAGCTCTTGGATATAGAGGTTTGTCCAGTATCACAAGTCCAGTAGAACCAACAAGATTATTTTTCTTTTCAGGATTTGACGGAGCTGCTACAAGAAAAGCAGGCTCTCCCCTTCTGAAATGATGAGTGGTAATTACCATGCAGGTCAACTTTTCCACCACTTAGAGGGAGCCTGGCAAAGAACAAAGGCAACAGAGAAGAAAGCAGAGCTGAGGCTGAGAAGGAGAAATTCCTGAGTGCTTGAATCCCACATGCCTGAAAATAAACCACACTTGGGCTTCTCAATTCAGGAGTCAGTGAGTTTATTTTTTCCTGATCTGGTTGGATTTGGGCATTCTCAAGAGTTTGGGGGTTGGGTGTGGGGGCATTTAAGGGAGAGAGCAGAATGCAGAATTGAGAAGGGGAAGAAGAGAGCTGCCTTCCACTTTAATGAGCATGTCCTACTTTTCCGCTGGTGCTTCTCAGCACAAGTCCCTTTTACAGTGTACTTCTTGCTCCATCCCCATAATGGAGGACACTCACTGGTAGACAAAGGAAGAGGGAGAGGAGCAGAGCAGATGCCACCTCAGCCTCCCTAGTTGCTGAAACCACAGGTGTGCACCACAACTCTAACTATAAATCCCCAGGGGTCTGTTGACCTCAGGTGAGAGGACTTGTTCCAAGGGGTGGTGGAAGGTCTTTATTAAGGTACTCCTGAGAGATAAAAGTCAGCCATCAGCAGCATTGCATGACACTTCTTTTTTTTTGAGACACTGTCTCTGTTACCCATGCTGGAATACAGTGGCACAATCTAGGCTCATTCCAACCTCAAACTCCTGGGCTCAAGCAATTTTCCCACCTCAGCCTCCCTAGTTGCTGGGACCACAGGTGTGCACCACAATACTTGGCTAATTTTTGTACTTTTTGTAGAGACAGGGTCTCCCTTTATTGCTCAGGCTGGTCTCAAACTCCCAGGCTCAAGTGATCCTCCCACCTCGGCTTCCCAAAGTGTTAGGATTACAAGTGTGAGCCACTACACGTGGCTGGGACTCTCTTTATTGGAACTGGTTTGTATAGTCGGAAGATAATCAATCAATAAGACTTTGGTGCTGGGAAGGATACTATTTTACTAGTGCATAATAAATTTATTTATTTATTTATTTATTTGAGACAGTCTTGCTTTGTTGTCCAGGCTGGAGTGCAGTGGCTGATCTCAGCTCACTGCAACCTCTGCTTCCCAGGTTCAAGCAATTCTCCTGCCTCAGCCTCCTGAGTAGCTGGGATTACAGGTGCCCACGACCACGCCCAAGCCCAACTAATTTTTGTATTTTTTTTTTTAAGAAAGTCGGGGCTTCACCATGTTGATCAGGCTGGTCTCAAATCCTGATCTCAGGTGATCTGCCTGTCTCGGCCTCCCAAAGTGCTGGGATTACAGGAGTGACACCCCTCCACCTCTTTATCTATTTTCTTCTCCCCCATGATACTCTAACCTTCTGGTTTCTTTATTTCCCAAATACCACAATCCTGCCTCAGGGCCTTTGTACCTGTTGTTCTCTTTGTTTTTTGTTTGTTTGTTTTTTGTTTTGTTTTTTGAGACGGAGTTTCGCTCTTGTTACCCAGGCTGGAGTGCTATGGCGCAACCTCGGCTCACTGCAACCTCCGCCTCCTGGGTTCAGGCAATTCTCCTGCCTCAGCCTCCTGAGTAGCTGGGATTACAGGCATATGCCACCATGCCCAGCTAATTTTTTTTGCATTTTTAGTAGAGACGGGGTTTCACCATATTGACCAGGATGGTCTCGATCTCTTGACCTCGTGATCCACCCACCTCGGCCTCCCAAAGTGCTGGGATTACAGGCTTGAGCCACCGTGCCCGGCCACCTGTTGTTCTCTTTGAAATGCTCTTTCCCTAATAGTCCCGTGTCGCTACTCCCTCACTTCATTCATATCTTTGCTCCGAGTGGATTTCCCTCCCCACTTTATGTAAAATAGCCCCATCAGTGACCATTTCTTCCCCTTGCTTTATTTTTTTATCCTAACACTTTACTACTGTCTGACCTTATAATGGTTATTCATTTATTTGTTTATTGCCTTTCTTCCCACTGGGATATAAGCAAAGACTTTGCTATATTCACCACTATAGCCTCAGTACCTACAACAGCTTCTGGCCCAATATAAAGTTACTGAATGAATGAATGAATGAATGAATCTAATGCGTCTGTAAGTGAGGGAACTGAAATACTTTGCCACCTTCTTTCTGCCCTGTATCCACTTTTTTTTAAATCTTCCCTTACTTAGATGTGCTTCCCAGGTTACTCTTTGGCTTACCCCTCAGACTCTGGTCTGCTACCAAGTGGAGCTTGGCTTTCTTGAAGTTTCTGCTTAATCTCCATGAGCCCAACCCCACAACAACAGTACCTAGCAGACAGCATGAGAGAGATTCACGAAGTTGACCAACATGCATGAGTACTTAACAGTGTTCCAGGCCTTATAGAACCCACTAGGGGGACTCAGCCTTCCTCTTAAAGAGGTCTAGGTCTAGTGAGAGAGAAACAAACCATTCACAGATTATTCTAACAAAGGGTGAGAAGTCATGGGGGAGTACACAGAATAGTTTTGCAAGCCGCCAGAAAAGCACCATTGCAATCACCTTGGGATGTCCAGAAAGACATCACAGTAGAGAGATCCTGGATGGAGTCCCCTAACATCTCTGGATTTTTGTTTTCCCATCTGTGTCATGACACATTTAAACTGGATGAGCTATTAAGTTTCCTTCTCCTTTGAATCACCTCCAACCTCTTTTCCATGACCTTGCTAAGAGCAGTTGATGGTGTTATTAGACCTAAGCCTGGTCAGCCTCTAGGTATGTTTGACTTTCCAGAGAAGTTCACAAAGGTCAAGGCCTGGTGTGACGATGTGGTAAGCAGAGCAGGCAGAAGAAATACCGATCAGTAAAGAACAAACACCACTCCTGGCTTAGTCATGAAATTCTGAGAAGCAGCAGCACCCAGTGAACCAACCCGCAGGCTGGCAATCACGGGTGAGACTACCTTTAGCCAAGGCGTGTGGCAGAGCCACATGAGGGAGGATCTGTAAACAGCAGCTACTTCCTCAAACCACAGGACAACTTCTATATACATTCCACGTGGAATGGCCAGCTGATCACACGTATAGGCCTTTTCTACTATCCTATCACATTAAATTTACAATCATAGTAATCATGTCCCACCGTAAAGGAAAGTGATACAATAATATCAGTTTGCCTTTATCAGTTTACATTTATTTATGGTTTTAATCTCTCTTCACTGCCATATTATAGCATATGCCTGATTTTATTCTTGTAGCAACCCTTTGATGATGGTAGAAAAAGTACTTACCTCACATGTAAGTAAATTAAGCCAAAGCACATTAAATAGATTATTCTGTACTTGTAAACAAATTGTCCTTAGGAAAATAGTATAGGGTTTAGTATAAATAAAAGTAACATTTTAAGTGAAAAAGTAGCTTGGCAAGTAAGTTGCTTTTAAAATAGGCAATTCAAATCACTGAGTACTATTCCAACTAATGTAACTATAATATTCTCAAATGTAATTTATAATATTTAAACATAGGACAGGGATAAAGAATTGAGGAAAATTGTTTTTTGTTCCTGTTTTGTTATCAAAAACTCCCAATCCAAAAAATGGTTACATTTCAGTATGTGCCAACAATTCTAAAATAAATACAGAAGTCAAGTTTTATTTCTTATGAAAGCCAAAAAAATAAAAAATAAAAACCAGAGAGCAAGAGAGAGAAAGCAGCATGCTGGTAAGTCCTGCCAATTTATCTGGCTTTTCCAATGCTTGCTGAGAAGGAGATTTCATTTTTTTCTTTTTTAATTTCAAGTTTCCCTGAGCCAGTTACTCTTTTCTAAATTTTTCTCCCATTTTTAAAACCCATGCTAATTAAAAGAGGTAAGTTTGTTCTGACAAAGCCATCAGATAAATCCTTGTCTTCCTTCTATTTTTAGCCCAAGGTCTATAGTGCCTTCTACTTTGCCACAACCATGAAGATCCCCCTGCCACATGTTCATTGTCAAAAGATCATACTGTGATCTATTGATTCCAGCCATTGAATGGACAAAAATAATAATAGCATAAGATGATATGAATAAATACATAGATGATCACTGTAGCAATTGGGAAGTCAGAAGCTGGTTCTGTGCCAACATCCCACACAAAAACCACCACAAAATAAAACACAAACTACCAAAGCTTATTCAAGAAGTAGATTGGTGATGTACCTTCAGAATAAATAAACATAAAATAAAAAAATAAGTGGATACCTTTATAGCCCTATTTCTCTTAAGGAAAGGAACTCTCCAGGTTCAGAAGTTTTCATTGGTGAATTCTTAATGGAAAAATAATATCCACCCTACATAAACTTTAGAAGAAAATAATCACAGAAGTGAGAACATTTAACAACTTGTATTAGGAGGCCAACATCTGTCTTGCCCTGTCATACCAAAGACAGGCAAGAGAAAAGATAAGTATAGACCAACATCTTTCAGTTTAAAATTGTTTTTTAATTTTAAGTTCTGGGGTACACGTGCAGGATGTGCAGGTTATAAACGTGTGCCATGGTGGTTTGCTGCACCTATCTACCCATCACCTAGGTATTAAGCCTGGCATGCATTAGCTATTTTTCCTGATGCTCTCACTCCCCCGCCTCAACCACCCCTACAGGCCCCAGTGTGTGTTGTCCCCATCCCTGTGTTCATGTGTTCTCGTTGTTCACTTCCCACTTGTGAGTACTTGAGAAGATGTAGTGTTTATTTTTCTGTTTCTGCATTAGTTTGCTGAGGATAATGGCTTCCAGCTTCATCCATGTCCCTACAAAGAACATGATCTCTTTCCTTTGTTTGGCTGCATAGTATTCCATGGTGTATATGTACCACATTTTCTTTTGTTTTGTTGTTGTTGTAGTTGCTTGGAGACGGAGTATCACTCTGTCACCCAGGCCTGAGTGCAGTGGCACAATCTCGGCTCACTGCAACCTCTGCCTTCAGGGTTGAAGTGATTCTCTTGCCTCAGCCTCCTGAGTAACTGAGATTACAGGTGTCTGCCACCACCCCCAGCTAATTTTTTGTATTTTAGTAGGACAGGGTTTTACCATGTTACCCAGGCTAGTCTTGAACTCCTTACCTTGTGATCTGCCCACTTCAGCCTCCCAAAGTGCTGGGATTACAAGTGCGAGCCACTGTGCCCAACCTATGTGCCACATTTTCTTTACCCAGTCTATTGTTGATGGGCATTTGGGTTGGTTCCATG